GGCCATTTTTAAGTTGTGTTACTTGTTTTGTTATTAGGAACTTTGAGTTCCTTGTATATTTTGGATAGTCACCCCTTGTGTGAAGTATGATTTATAAATACTCTCCAAATGTGTGAGTTGTCTCTTCACCCTCGTTTTCCGTGCTCTGAAAAAGAATTTTGGTTCAAAGCTATTCAATTGTTCTATTTTTGCTGTGGTGGCCTGTGCTTTGGGGATTATATCTGAGAGAGTTCTCTCTAGACCCATGTCAGGAACTTTGCTCCTGTGTTTTCTTTTGGCAATTAGTTTCAAGTGGGACTTTGTTTTTTTGTAAGATTTATTGCTCTTCTGCTCAAGCTGGTCTTGAACACATGTGCTGTTTCTGAATCAACCTCTCAGGAAACTGGAACTATGGGCCAGCTCTAACACCCCCTGCTTCAGGTGTTACATTTAAATCTTTAATGCATTTTGAGTATGATTCTCATACAAGAGCTTATATGAGGGTCTATTTTTATTCTTAAATTTGTGAATACCTTTTTTTTCAACAGCTTTTATTGAGATACCCATTTCATATTTTGTATTCTTGACACCTTTGTCAAGAATGCATTCACTATACATGTGTGGGTTTATTTCTGAGTTCTTTTCTATTGGTCATAGCATTTGTTTTTATGCCAATACCATGCTGTTTTATTTACTGTAGTTTTGTAATCTATGTTGAAATCTGGCATTGTCCTTTTTGGTCAATATTACTTTGTTTTTTGGGGGGTCTGTTTTAGTCAGATTTTTTTTTTTTTTTTTTTTTTTTTTTGCTGCTATGAACAAAAGAGACCTTACCAGAACAATTTTAGAAGAGGGAAAGTTTATTTTGGAGCTCATGGTTTCAGAGGTCTCCTCCATAGATCCCTGGCTCCACAGGGCCGGAGGTCAGGCAGGATGTCATGGCAGCTGACTGAGGTAGAGGAAAGCCGCTCAGGACATGGTACCAGAGAGCAGAAAGAGTGAGCTCCAGCCACCAAGGACAAAATATGTTCCCAATGACCCACCTCCACCAGTGGCACCCTACCTGCCTACAGTTACCACCCTGTTAATCCCTTCTGTGAATAATACACTGATTATGTTAAGATTCTCAGAACCCAATCATTTCACTTCTAAACTTTCTTGCATTATCTCACACATGAGCTTTTGGAGACACCTTCTATCTAAACCATAACTGGGTCTTTTATGGTTTCATATGAATTTTAGAATTTTTTCCCAATTCTGCATAGAATGAAAATAGAATTTTGATAAACCTGTTTTTCATCTTTCCTTTTCCTTTTTCATTTTTGTGGTGCTGGGATTAAACCCATGACCTCAAGCATGCCAAGCAAGTGCTCTGCTACTGAGCTACACTCCCAGCCTGATAACCCTAAGTTTCTGGTGGAGCCTTCTGTCCTTGGGTTTTCCTTTCATCTCCACTGCTCTGATCCATCACCGGCAGGAATCTTGGTGCTGACATTTGCCTTAAGCACAGTGCAGGGCACCTTGACCTCCCTGCTCTTCTCAGCCCTGCATCCTCTTTCTCCCTATAGTGTAGGCATCTCCTTCTTGATGGACCTTTGCCTGCTTTCATCTAAACCCTCACCCTTTCAAGGCCTCCACACTCCACCCTACTCTCTTTCCCTGGTCCCTCTGTATCTCTCCACTGTGGGACCTTTTCCTGCACACACCACCTGCCTAGCTACCCTGAGCCCTCACCAACTTCCATCTGTCACAAGCCCCCTCTGATAGGACCATTGCAATCACTACAGCCACTCTCATCTGCCTTCATCCAGAACAACACCCCTGTCCTCATCCTAACCCAGGTTTTTCCAGGGTCACCTGTAAGCCATGTTCACCCTGCATACTCCAGGTCATTCCTTGCCCAGGTCACTAATCTCTTTGCACTTCCCATCTCCCTCCCCATCCATACCAGAAGAAGGCTCTTGGTCCACCTACTTCTTGACCTTCCCCTTTCTTTTTGGTTCCTTTACCTCAGAGGACTTTGACTCCCTTCACCATGCATCCAAAATCTGTGTTTTGCTACTCGGTTGCTCCTGCTGTTCCTAACTCTTCCTCTCCCAGCACCAGCTTCCTCCTGGAATGTTTTTTGTTTGATCTCTCATTTTTTGTGGTGGGCATTGATCCCATGACCTCAACCATGCACTCCTACACTGAGAAACCCCCCAAACCCCTGTAATTGTTTTCTAACCTGGTGCTTTTTTGGGGTGTGACCAGCTCCCACCACTCTCTCCCACTCTGAAGGGCCTCCCCCAGGTGGTGCAACTTGTCCACCTGCCTTGATCCTCTCTTCCCAGGCCTCTACTTCCTTCTTCTCTCTGATTCTGCATTAATCTGTAGTACACTGCCCTGGTTTCTGTTTGGTGTTTAATTGTGGTAAAATAGACATAATGTACAGCTTCCTATTTTAACCATTTTGAGTGTACAATTCAGTGCCATTAAGTGTGTTCACATTTTTGTGGAAACTGAAACTCTGTACCCACTAAACACTAAGCATCGATCCTCCCACCCCAGTCCTTGCCATCTTTCTGCCAGTATTCTATATTCTGTCTCTATGAATTTAACTCCCTAGATTCCATACAAGTACAATCATACAGAATTTGTCCTTTCATGACTGGCTTTTCCACTTAGCTCATGTCCTCAAGATCATCCATGGTGTAGCAATTGTCAGAATGTCCTTCCTTTTCAATGCTAAATAATATTCATTTCACATATAAGCCATATTGTGATTAGGTTTTCATCAGTTGATAAATACTGTGGTTATTTGTACCTTTTGGATTTTGGGAACAATGCTGCTATGAATGTGGGTGTACACATACCTCTGGATTTCCCTTTCTTCACAACTTTTGTGTTTATGTCCAGAAATACAATTACTGGGTTATATAGAAAGTATCTTTTCCATATTTGGAGGAACCACCATACCATTTTCATAGCAGTTGCTCCATTGTATATGTAGGCAAGCAATGCACCGTGCTGCAGTTTTCTCTGTAGTTATGAACTTGTTCATTCTGCATTCTTTTTTTATAAACAGTAGTCATCCTCATGGGTACAAAGTAGAATGTCACTGTGCTTTTATTTTCATTTCCCTAATGACTGCTGATGTTGAGTGTCTCTTTGTGTGCTTATTGGCTATTTGTATATCTATCAGACAACTGTCTGTAGTGATACTTTGCCCAATTCTGAATAAATTCAATATTTTTCTTATTTTTGAGTTTTTGAGATTCTTTTTTGTTTGCTTGTTTTATGGAGCTGGGACAATCTTAGGCCCTCGCACATGCTAGGCAGGTGTTCTATAGCTGAGGTAACCCCAGCCCAAGATATATAGATATATTTGAATGTTCATCTCTTATTAGATATGTGACTTGCAGATATTTTCTCCCATTTCACACGTCACCATTTCTGTGGGTGACCTCTGGTGTATAGATGTTTTTAATTTTGATGAGTCCAATTTATCAATTTTTTCTCTACTGTGTGCTTTTGGCATCCTATGGAAAATGTGGTTATATCCTTTGTTTTGAAGATTACTGCCAATACATTGTAATATATTATATATACTTTTTATTTGTTTTATTTTTGTACTGTGAGTTGAATCCAGGTTCTCTCACATTCTAGTATGTGGTCCCCACTGAGCTACCTCCAGTAAATTTTTATTTTGAGAAAGGGTCCTGCTAAGTGTCCAGGTTGGCTTTTAACTTCCACTCATCTGCCTCAGTTTCCTGAGTATCTGGGATTACAGGCACATATCACAATATGTACCAGTCAGTGTGTTTTCTTCTAAGAATGTTTGATTTTATAGTCTGCATTTTTTTTCACTTTGAGTTTGTGTGTGTGTGTGTGTGTGCACGCACATACACACTTGGGGACACACTCTGAGTATTGAATCCAGGCATTTGCAGAAGCTAGGCAAGAACTCTATCATTGAGCTACATCCCCAGACCTGAGTTAATTTCTATACATGAGTAACTAAAGGATCCAACTTCATTGTTTGTGAAAATCCAAATTTTCTAGCATATCTATTGGAAAGATACAATGTGTTTGTGGGGGGCTATGGAAAAATAGTTACTTTGGATTAGATAGAGGGAAGTGAAAGGAGAGGAGGGGGTATGGAGTAAGAATGATAGTAGAATGAATCGGATATTATTACCCATGTGCATATATGATTACATGACCGGTATAACTCTACATCATATACAACCAAAGCAATATATACTGTATATACTCCATCTATGTATGATGGGACAAAATGCATTCTACTGTCACATATAACTAATTAGAACAAATAAAATAAATAAATAAATACGTAAAAAAAAAAAAAAAAAGAAAAGCTACATCAGTTCTTTGGAAACACTGCTATCTGCTTTTTCCCAGGGGATGCTACTAGGACAATTTAAGTCCCCCACCTGAGGCTTCCAGATGCTGATCATTTACTTTGGACCAAGCCCACTGCTTCACTTCCCTTTAGGGTACAACCCCACTCAACACTTTGGGGCCACCAACCCTCACACTCACTTTGACCCCCTGTCTGCCTCACCTTATCCATGAGAAGTCTGCACATAGACAGCACACACACACCCTCTGGGGACCTGCCCTGCCTGGGCTTCACTTCAGTGACCATAGGCCCACCCACCCTCTGCCCTTCCTGTGCCCTCTGTGCACTCTGACAAGCCCTGCCATGCACCTCTGCCCCTCCCATACCTCTCTTGCCTCTCCCCTTGAACACCCAGCTGTACCCTTAAGAACCCATGCCTATGTGTTGGGCCCTGGCCAACTTGCCTGCCCCTCTCTATTTCCCCTTTGTCCATCCCTCACTTCCCCTCTCCTTGCTCTCTACTTTCCTGTCTTCATTGTATTGGGAACCTTTCTTCTGTCCCTTTGTGTATGTTTGCTGCCTCCTCAGGTGCTCAGGACAGCAGAGCCTTTGTGGTGAGCATTGGTGAGCACTTGTTTCCTGGAAGAGGTGTCATCTGTTGGTTCCTCTTCCACAGGGACCCACAGTCTTCACTATAACCTCACAGTGAGGTCCCAAGGTGGATCAGTGCAATCAAGGTCCTTTGCCAATGGTTATTGGGACCATCAGCTCTTCCTTCACTTTGATAGTGACAAAAAAGAAAGTGTAAAGCCCCAGGGGCCATGGGCAGAAAAACCTTTGGGAACTGAAAGCTGGGACACAGAGATCCAGGAGTTGGCAGAGCACAGCAAGAATCTAAAAGCAACCCTGGCAGATATCAATGCCTGGCAAGAGCAGAAAGGAGGTGAGTGTGGGCAGGGGCAAGTGTGATGTGAAGCTTTCTCCAGGACCTGTGTCTTCTCATTGCAATTGACTGGGGAGGGCAAGAAATGGGTTTTATACAGATCTGCACAGGGGACTTGGAGGAGAGCCAGGTTGGGGTCCCCTGTGGGCTAGTATTTTTCCCTTGGTGGGCAGGGAGGCGGAGGGCCCAGGGGATGGAGAAGTGACTGGTGTGTGGGGACAGGGTCTCATTTCCTCCAGGAGACTTGGGGCTGCAAGATTCACAAGGACAACCGCACCAGGGCCTTCTGGAATTTCTACTATGATGGGGAGCCCTTCCTCTCCTATCATCCAGAGACATGCAGCTGGACAGCGGAGCCATCCTCAGCTCAGAACTTGGCTATGGAAGTCAAGAATTCCTGGGATGCAGATGGCATGCAAAGCAAGGATTACTGGGCCCAAGTTCCGGGAGAGCTTTGTGGAAGACTCAGGAGATATCTAGTCTTCTGGAAGGACTCCTCCTACTCCCCTGGAGCCTCTGCCCAGAGGACCTTGTGTGAGTTTATCGTGTTGTGATTTGCCTGTCCTGTCACAACACTAGATAGAGACAGGAGGGTGTATGTGCCCAGAACTAGTGAGCCCTCACCCCCCTGCCTGCCTGCTATCATAGAGAGCTCCCACCTGGCCCCACAACCCTGGACCCCCCAAAATACCCCTCATCACCTCACAAACAAGAATTCTTATAACACTCCCTATTTAACATAACACGTTAAAGTGAGAATGTGAAGCCACAAGCCCAGTGACCATCCTCCTGCCAGTCAGAGGACTCAGGCTCCAGGTTGAAAACAGACTTGTGGACCTCACTTCAATGAGGTCTTAGGCCAGAGTCAGAAGCATGGAGAAGGGGAGTGAGGCTTGGTCACATGCCTGACTACTTTTGCCTTTGTTTCCCTCCAGTGTTTCCAGCAGTGAATGTGACCTGTGCTGAGGCCCTGGAGGACACCATCAATGTGACATGTTGGGCTTTTGGCTTCTATCCCCAGAATATCTCTGTGACCTGGCTTCAGGATGGGGAACCCCTGAGGCAGGGCACCCAGCAGTCTGGTGGTATCTTTTCCTATGAAAATGGGACCTACCAGACCTGGGTGTCTACCAGGATTCCCCAAGGACAGGAGCAGGGGTTCAGCTGCCATGTGGGACACAGCGGGAACAACAGCACTGGCCTTGTGTCCTGTGGTGAGCCTGGGGGTCCCAGCAGTGGTTCCCAACCAGGTGACTCAGTGACCAGGGTGGTGAGAGGGGAGAAGCCTTGCGGCTCCAGTACCAAGAGTGTAACAATCCTGCTTTCAGGGACTGCACTGCTGCTTCTGAGCCAATGGGCTGCCTTCCTGGGTGTGGCTGCTGCTGTTGGTGTTCTGATTATGATTATTGTTTGTGTCTGCTCCTGCAAGAAAAGGAAGACAAAATCTACTTCAGAAGGTTCAGGTGAGAAAAGCGTTCAGTGGCTGGGGATTGCAGGGCCTATTTGGAATGTAGGGTCTCTTGTGCCTCCCACTACACAGATAGCAGTGGAGGTGACCAGCTTTCTGGAACAGAGGATGGAGTTCTGTCTCCAGCCACACCCCTTAGTCTTGCCAAAAGCCAGGACTGACAACATTTCTGAAGGTCCAGATGCAGCCTCTGTGGCTGCAGGGTGAGGAGTGAGCAACAGTGGGGCTGTGGCTTCTGATGTCCTCGTCTATCTCTCAGGCTTTCCTGGGTTGACCAGAGGACTGTGTTGGGAATGGAGGGCTGATTGGTGCTGGCTAGATTATCTTGTCCTCAGGGGGACACAGAATGAATGAGTTGTGACCTTTGGGTGCTTAGAAACTAGAGAGGAATTTCATGAATGGTGATGCCACTGGTCCCTCCCCTCACTCTCCCCCAGTGTCTCTGGCTGTCAGGAGCAAACCAGGAAAGAGATCCATAGGACCAGAGCCCTGTCAATGCAGCCCCTGGGAGGCCTGTGTAGAGCAGGCCCTCCTAGGAGCTGCTCCTGAGTGTCTCCTCTGGGTCACTTGGGCATGCCAGTCACCATCCTGTCCCCACTATACAGCTCTTCCTCCTGGAGTGGCCTTGCAGATGACATGGACAGGAGAATGGCTTATGTCCTTGGCCATCGGGGGAGAGAGACCAACCTATTATAGGGCAGCTGTGGTCACTGTTTTTCTCTTATGTCTGGAATTTTCCAGTGTAGCCCATAGGGGTGTTGGTCCCCACAGACTAGGGCACACAGTCCCATAGCAGGGGCCCATTCAGATGACTCTACAAGTAGGGTAGGCAGCTCTGTGGTCTCTGCTGCTCCCATCTATGGCCTTCCAAGAGGGGGAACAAGGGCAATGCTAGTTCTACTTTCTTGTGGTCAGAAATGGTTGCCTGGAATGTCACTAGGGCAGTGCCCAGGGAAAGAGTGGGAAAGGCCTGTTGCTTATTTTTGCAAATTTCTACTTTGAATGTTGAATCTCAGTAAGGATGTTTCCAGTTTCAACTGTATCATGTGAATAAGCAGTTCTCCAGCACTCACGTACTAATGTGCACTAATTGTCACCCTTCAAGATCCCTCTAAAGGAGTGTCCCCTGTGGGAGATCTGGATTGTGACCATGACAATGCAAAGGAACAGAAGATGGGCCTACAGTTCACACTGCAGAATCTCAGGAAAACCCTAGTTTTCTTTGGGAAGAAGACCTCTGAGGACTGTGAGGATTGTGGCCTGCAGAAGTCCCTGCTAGGAATGGAGGTAGGGAGTCCAGGGCAGCCTCAGGAAAAAGAAGCCCTTAGGGAAGAGCTGGGTTCCCAGCAGCAGGTAAACCACGCAGGTAGGGGAAGCAAAAGTGCAGATTGAGAGCCTGGGCAGGTGCAGAGGGTCAGTGATTCTGAGTCTCCTCTGCGTTTGCTGTTGTAGGCAAGGGAACAGCAGTTCATGTGGCAGGCATGCTTTTCCAGCTAGGCCTGCTGGTGCCCCTGGGCTTCCTGGTGGACTGCCCAGTTAGGAGCTGCTGGCTCAGGGCTGGGAGGGAGGGATGCTGAGCTGCAAGTGGGGCAGGCCCTGCTGGGTGAGCACCTGCCTCTGCAGGGGAGGAGGCCTGTGAACTAAGGGGGAGAAGGGCTCTGTGTGAGTCCCCTGCCCAGCCTGGCAGGAGCAGGAGATGCCTTCTCTTGGAGGCCCTCACTCTGTAGGGAATGATTTACATTTGGAGGAAGGGACACTGGACTTCACTTCCAGATCTTGACTCTGAATCCTGCAGCCCTTTCACTCCCTTCTGTGGTGGAAACAGAGACAGGTGATATTGCTGATAGAAACAGAGGAGCCTGATAAGGGCAGGAAAATGGGATGAGAGGAGAAAAAAAATGTCAGGGCATTTGCTTCCCTCAGAGAAGGGCCAAACCTGATTCTTGAGGAACTGAGGAGAAGTCCCAAGGGAGTAAACAGCAATATTCTGTAACAAATTGAACACTGACTGGTTCCTCTTTTTCCATAGAGCCCCTGAGCCTATATAACCTGGATCAGCAGCAGAGGGCACCAAGTGACTACACTGGATCCACACAGCTGGGATGTTAACCTTTGCTGAGAGCTCCTGGGGCTTCCGGGGGAGCTTACACTGGGCAGCCCTGCTGTGACAAGCACTTTATGTCTTGGTGCCTTGGTTTCCTCATCTCTACAATGTGAAAACGTATGTTTACTAACTAGTGCAGCTGTTCTGTCCTAATATCCTTATTATTTTACTGTATTTTAGCACATTACATATAATTATGGTATTTTAATAAATGAGATTTTTTTGTAAGTGTCCTTATTCTGCCTCCTCCCAAGAAACCTAAAATACTCTCCTTCAGTGTTGAGGGAACTTCAAACCCTCTCTGACTCTCTGTCTTACCTCTTGTCTATATCATTTTACATTGTAAATGTTAAATATTTTTAAATGTGAAACTTTTAAATATGAAATATATCTGGCCTATGTTCATGTTCTGGGAAGGGACCGTGTGAAAGGGTCAACAAAAATAACATGTTTGTCTCCATGTTTGACAGAGAGTTAAACATATGTTTAACATAGACCGTGATGTGAGCCAGAGTCTGTGGCATTTTTAAAAAATATTTTTAATTGATTTTATTTTTTAAATACATGTCAGCAGAATGCATTATAATTCTTATTACACATTTAGAACACAATTTTTCATCTCTAGAGTCTGTGGCATTTTGCAGATGATGTTGAATGAATGTGCTGGCTTCAAATTCTGAGGAATTTGGCAGTGTTCTTCATAACAACTGAGGTGTTGGTGCCAATCCTTTGCAAGACAGCTGCTCTATAGCCTGGCAGAGATGAGCCATCCAGGAGGAATTCCCATGGGCCATCCTGAACAGGCATAATTTCCTTTTCTCAGAGATTGCTTAGCAAGAATTTGAAGATGGCAAGGGCACAAAAATTCAACTACAGCCTCCAAGGAAGACCTTTTTCTCTTTTATAGCATAATGTGAACAGCATGCACAAATCTAGATCTCTCTTGTGTGGTTTACGTTGTACAGTGATGTGGCTGGTAAACCCTGCTGTCATCAGATTACTTCCTCCTGTTTTGAGCAAGATTGTCATTTGGGTGTTGTAGTTTCAATATGCAAGGTCCTCTCCAGAATGTCAGACACCCACTGCCCACACAGTCTTCATGCCCTTGTGTAACATAGGCCACTGCTGCTGCCCCTAGACCCTTGTCACATGCCCGCCTCACACTGCCACTCACTGTTCCAACTTCCAGATGCTATTGTACATGTGTTTTTCAATTTAATGTTCAAATATATTCTGTTTACTCTCATGTTTGTCAATCAGGATCATAGTCACAAGCTAAATGTACAATTTTCAAGTCATCATTTATTGATATGCATTTTAATTATGGCATATAGAGATGCTATGGAGCATTTTGTTTTCATTACATCCAAGTTACGCTTGCTTAAATGGCCATTATTGGTGCTTATGGTTTTCTTCCTTGATTTTTGATGCTAACATATAAAATTGTACTCTGTTCATTGGTTTCCCACAATGGCCAATTAATTTGGACCACTCCTCCCATGGAATACACCTGGAAAACTGAGGGGAAAAGCACACACTTGAAAAATAGGGCTAAAGTGCAGACAGGAGGAGAAAACACTGAAGGTTTACTAGGCCTGGAATAAGAGGCAGAATCCAGAATAAGAAGTTAAGTACACTGTGCTTTTGTCCTGGGTGTGTCTCTGGCTGGGACAGTGCCTGGGAGCCTCTCAGGGCTTGAGGGCAAAGCTGCAAAGGGCATATCTGGGACACCAGGGATCCCTTGTGTTGAAATGGGCCCCAAAGGCTGTCCCTTTAGAATCAGTCAGCCAGTTCTCCTGTGGGTTACAGCTCTACTTTAACATACATGATCCGAAAATCTGAACACCAAAATGTGCATTAAGGTGTTATTTTTCAGCTACTCTTATTAAGCATTATAATCGAAGACCTCCTCAATGAGATCAAGGGAGAAAGTAAATAAATATAGAAGGGTTTGAAGAGAGATATAGAATTCTCATAAATTGCAAATTATAATACATTGAATTCATAAAGTCCCAATCATTACAAATCTTTGGAATTAATAACAGTTTTGGGCTGGGACAATGGATCAGTGATAGCGCACATGCCTGGCATGTGTAAGGCACTGGGTTTGATTCTCAGCACCACATATAAATAAATAAAATAAAAGATCTGGCAACGACCAAGAAACAATTAGAAAAAAATAACAGCTTCCTGTGTTGCTACATAAATATGTTTATTTCAGTGTTTTATATTCCAGAAGCAAACAGAGTGTGAATTTAACAAAAAATTATTGGCATAGTAAAAATACACTTTTTATACTTTTAGAATGAAACCTACAAATTTTCCTCCAAATACCAAATGATACATTTTAACAACCTTATTCAGTAGAGAAGACAATTAATTAACTGAAGAGAATTGTCAAGAATCTGGCTTATGGTTCAATATTACAATGGCATTAATTTCTGAAAATGTTCCAAGAATTCTAATAAATCTCAAGCAACTAGTCAGTAGGCATTTTGAAGCATTTGGTTAGCTGATTCTAAGCCTTATATGGAAATATACATGAAGATTAGCCAAGGCACGTTTAATCAAGAATAATAAGGACTGTATTCTCTTAGGAGATATCAAGACTTACATTGTAGTTATCATAAACAGAGAGTATGTGTTGATATAGAGATAGACAAATAGATCTTAGAGTAGAAAGACACAAACCAAACAACACACATGTAGACATTATGCATGTGTGACTGTGTGAATAACAGAGATAGAGGTAACACATGCATACATACAAACTGGCACTATATGTAATTTAAATTGTTGATATATAACACTGGTAACATTAAGAGATTTATGGGAAAAAACAAATTTTGAAGGAATTATTTCAGAGCAATTGGTTACTCATGTGGAAAAAAATGGAATTGTATTTATCTCTTCCAAAATATTATTTAATGTGGCAGACTACCTTCACTACCTTAGCAAAGGGAAATGTTTTTTTCATTCAAGAGACAATAAAGCATTTACCCTAAAGAAAATGGGATAAAAATAAAGGTATTAAATTTGAGATTCCAGAATATTTGGACATTATTCATTCTTTAGTGAATAATTGTATGACTAAATGTCCTTCAGCAAAATCTGTGTAAGAAGAATATTCTCTGAAATGCAGTACAGGGATATTTCTTAGAGGCACCAGACTTCTACTCAAAGGATGGCATCTGACACATAAATTGGCTTTAGATGGAACTAGGTAAAAGTTCAGAACATGCAGGACTCGAGGTTGGTTACTAATCAGAACACCTAGCATTCTTATACCTATCTGTACTAAGTGGTACATCAACACCTTGGTGAGGAAAGCATCCTCCCAGCACTCTGAGGAGATGGTGAGAAGAGAATTGGACAGGAGTTACATAATATTTGCCTCTCACATTCCCATCTCTGAGCTGCTGTGGACACATTCCTCTAGGATTTATCTGAGTTACATAACTGCAATACATCTTTATTGGTATTGGCTGGTGGTTTTCACAAAATTCTCTACACAGCAGACAAGGATATTTCTGGGCTGGTTTTGATTCACATCTAATACTGGTTTGCTTCAATTCCTGGCTGGTTTTGATTCACATCTAATACTGAAATCCTCTGCTCTGAGCCACTGCTTCTTCTCTTAGCTGCTCATTGAAATCCCCTGGCGAGTTTCACAGACATGATTGGTACCTGAATTGCTCTTTTGGTGAATCAGATTGAAGGGTTTAATGTGTGATCCTGGTCTGGGGCTATTTGAAGCTATCCCAGGTGACTTAAAGTGAGGATAGGTTTGAGAATTGTATGTTATCTGACTATTTTCATATGTCATTCTGGGAAAAGAAAAACAGATTGAGGTTGTTATCAACAGTTGGACGAGAGTGATAAACAGGTTTCAAGAAAAAATTTCAGTATGAAGGACTTGTTCTACACAATTCTAGGTTGTTATGGTTTGGATATTAAATATCCTCCAAAAGCTCATATGTTAAAGGCTTGATTGCCAACTGACACCACTTTGGGGAGGTGGCGGGAATTCTAGGATATAGGACCTAGTTGAAGAATGTAGTTAAGTGCATTGCGGCGGGGGGGGGGGGTATGTACCATTGAAGGGTAGATATTGTCCCCAGCACCTGTTGCATGCTCTCTCTTCTCTCTTCTCTCTCTCTCTCTTCCTCTGTCTCCCCTGCCCCTTTCTGTAAAGTGAGCCATTTTCCCTATAACATGCTCCCCACCATGATGTTCTGCCTCATTGCAAGCCTACAGGGATGGAGTCAAGCATCTATGGTCTGAAACCATGTGTAAAAACAAATCTTTCACCTATGAAGTTGTTTATCTCAGATGTTTTATCATAGGTTGGAAAGATGACTAACACATGGAATAGTGTAGACAGGATTCCATGCATTTATCAAAACTCCTAGCACTAAAAATTACAAAGAATACCTCCCTCCATCTAAAATGAGTAGCAATTAAAATCAAGACTTCCTTAAGGGTACATAGCACTCCTCTTGAAAACTGAGAGGAAACTCCACAAATACACACACACACACACACACACACACAAATATATATACACACAAACACACACACACAACTTATATAAGTAAAACATACAACTATTCAACAATATCACAAGTTTATCTATGGCCAGTGTGTGTGTTTCATTTTTAGGTCATTGACACCAAGACAGAGCAAATTCATTAACTTGTAGCTAAGCTAGAAATTAAAACAAATTTTCCAGTCTTGTGTCTTGTTCATCTGTGAGAAGAAGGACCTACATTTGTGGTCAATTTTGGTCTTCTGGGAGATCCTTCCTTTCTTTCTGAATTGAATCTCTTTGTTAATTCATGCATGTTTCCTCCTCTCAGCTCAGAAATCATTCAAGGTAACTAGAGAGTAAAGATTTAGACATTCTTAGTCTATTAGACAGGATCCACTTCCAAAGATGGCAGACCAGCCTGTTTCAATCCCTCCCTACCCACAGGAACAATAATGAATTGGTTAGTAGGTAAGAAAATCCATGTGAAGGTGCTGGAGACACAAGATGGCACTGAAGACTCTATGAGACCAGAGTTCAGATGGAGGGAAATCCTAGGAATGTGAGCGCTATATTTGGCCATACTCTGTTTCAAAGTATTTGTCAAGTTCATAGTGGTAGCTGGGAGCCTGAGAAAAACAATGGGACTTTCAGCAGATACCACTGGTAGAGAAATATAATATTGGAGAATGGAGTTTTA